AAAGAAGATTGCATGAGAAATTGAACCGGTGGTTTTTCTGGTTTCACCGGTTCTACCGGTTTTTACCGGTTTTACCGATTTTGACCGGTTTTTACCGGTTTTACCGGTTTTTTACCGGTTTTGACCGGTTTTGACCGGTTTTGACCGGTTTTGACCTAAAACGGTTTTCTTATATGAACCGAACCGTTTTCATGACCGGGTACCGGTCCGACCGGTTCAACCGGCCGGTCCGGTCCGGTTTTAAAAACCTTGCCTTAAGGTATTGGTAAATTATTAAATTTATTTAACATTAAATTAATGAGTGTAAATCTAAATCAATTATTGGAAAATGAAAAGATCAGGAATATAGAAGAACGGTGAAATGAAAAACTTTTATGTAAAAGAGATGAGGTAAAAAAAATTTAATCTCAAATTGTGATTATTACATTTAGTACTTGAAAAGAAATAAAAGAAAGCAAAGCCGAGTGATGGCATGGAAAAGAATTACCTTAAACTATTAGTAAATTATTAAGATTTATTTAATATATATGAGTGTAAATCTCAATCAATTATTGAAGAATGAAAAGATCATAAATATAGAAGAATGGTGAAATAAAAAGCTTTTATGTAAGGAGATAAACTGGAGCCCTTTAAGCTTCTAATTAAATGTTATGAGGTTAGAATGATGATTATGCAACATTTAAGAGTTATAACTTTTCTTTTAATACCTTTGGAACTCAAAGACATATTTGGCAATTTAAAATTTTCTATTTTTATATTTAATTTACACTTCAACCTTAATTTAAATGTATCCAATGCATTATAAGGTAAAATAAAACCTTATTTATGCATTAATATGAAATGCACCACATGCTTCTTCTTCTTCTTTTTCTTTGTTTTCAAATAATTCATCATGTAATTCCTAAATGATTAAATGGAAATCCTAATTAATGCATAATTAATGGATGGTCAACATTTTATATTATATAGATAGATTATAATTCAACTAGAAAAACTTCATAATTTTAAATATTTCCAAAAATAAAATCCATGTTTAAAACTGAATTACTAACCAATTCAAATTATTTCAAATAATCTAATATAATCTAAAATCAATAATCTTGCCAGGTCTAAAATCCAATGTAAAACTAATCATCAAGTCCATAAATGAAGACTAACCATTTAAGTCATTTCATGCATGCCCTGATCACCCCAAAGTCTCTAGTTTCATTACTTGAAATGGTAGGACAAATAAAATGACGTGTAATAACTCAATAAATCACAGGTAGCCCTGTTTTAGTTACGCATGCCAAACAGTAATTAAGTCATGCAGTGATTTTAGAAATAACCAGAAATAACAGGATGCCAAAAATACAAAAGTACTAGTAAGTTCTCTCCTCCATAAGTCATGTCTAGTGTTTACAAAATTTCCACTAGCAAGCATCAATAATAACAAAATAAATTAGTTCCACAATAATATATGTTGCTGTGTGCCAGCATTTACAAGACTTCCACTAATGAGCATCAACAATATTCATGACGATGTTGGAAATTAACAAAATCATATTTCCGAGTCGAGTATATCATTATCTGATCAAACATTTTTTGAGTACAGGTATATCATAATCTCAAGTAAACAATTTCAAGCAAGTCATGTAACAATGGCTTGTTTAATCTTTCAAGGAAATATAAACCACGTATAAAAACAATCTCATATCATGATAGGAATGTCATAAAAACAGATTATGTCTAGCTACCAAATACCGCAAAAATAAGATTAAAATATGTTCAAAAATCTCAGTTTAAAACCAAAAACAAAACTGTAATTTTACTTACCTCACATTGCAAAAAATTAAGAATATGCAAGAATCAAGGATTAAGATGACGACAATGGTCAAGAACCTAAATGGAGTAATCATGAGTTATTAACTAATCAAATAGAAATATGAAATTAAAATTACTAGAATACCCCCAAATATCATCCAGCAACCAAAATTTTAAGGTGGAAGTCAGGTACGATGGCAAGGGTTATAGGCTGCCAGAACCATGTATTATAGGACATTTTAGGAACTTAAATTTAAGTCAACATCACCTAAGTTAACACAGCATTATTCAGTTAATGAACTAAAAATGGTGCATATTTAATGCACAATTGCAGAATTAAATCAAACTATTATTTCTTCAAGGAATCTCTAATGTCTCAAGCCTGCATGATTGCAGATTGCAGATTGCAGCTTCCAGCTTACTTCTCCTTTCCTTTCTCCTTCAGTTCAACCAAAGTCTAAATGGAAAGAGGAAATGCAGAATATTTGCTAAGTCAAACGCAACACGTATATACAGAATAAATGACATGCAAACCCTAAACTTAATGCATCCCACTTAATTAATTCGCCATTCTTAGATTTAAGACACTTGTTATTAACATTAACATGTAAATCCATACACATACTCCAGCAACTCCACTAAGTTAGCTTTCAAATAAATGACATTCAAACCCGAAACTTAACAATGATTACAGACTAACCCTAACTCTTTAAACAGTTAAGGATGACTGTAACTTGTCACTCTTTGCGAGGACGGGGATGTCTTATAGAGGCTTCCTTATTTTGTCAAACTCTAGATCTATTCTGTATGCAATTCACTTCATATGATTATTTTTTAGATAAATGTTAATATTAAATTGATTTCTTTAATTTAAATAACATATGAATGATGAAGTTTTCCCTCCAGCGCACGATTTGCTGACTTGCATTACGGCTGACATCTTGAGCTGAAAACATCAGAATGGGCATTCGTAGTCGTTCAAAGAAGCGTAGAGAAAGGGGTACGCAGAATAAGGATGTCAAAATTAAGGAATCTACAGGTGTGAATATTGACAAGCAAAATGACTTTCGGCCACTGTTTACTTCAACAATTGAAGGAAATATTACTCCCCAAAGTACTAGGGCTTCTAACTCAACGTCTGTTCCACTTACTAAATCTAATCCAGCTAGGAGAAGTTATGTTGAGGTTCTTACAAGTAGTGAACCTAACAAAAGGTCATCGGCCGAATGTATAATTACACATTCTGATGAGGGAGATGGAAAAGAGATTGGGACGGTTGTTAGCCACCATGGTGACAGCACCAAAGCTGAAAATTCAGGGCAATTTCTCAATACACGTACTTCTTTCTTTGTTGCAAAACCCAGCATAAACACTGTAATTGGTCCCTTGTCCATTTACCGCCGATGTCATTTGGTCTCTGGTTTAGTACTATATGAGGGATCCCTGAATCAATCAGCCGACCCTCTCAATCCACTGTATGTCAATGTCTCAGTCATGTCAAATGTTGAGGGAGAACAACGATGGTTTACGGTTTGCCAGCCAGATATTGAGTTGTGTGTCCACCATTATCTGCATCAGTCCAAGCATCTTATTGTTCCAAGAATTCGCTATGACCTGGTTACCTGGTACAAATACGCAGAAAAGCGTTACAAATTCCATGGATCTTCTAATTGGGTCCAGTTTGTTAAACCCTTTCTCCATCCAGTGTTGAGGTAAATTACATTAGGTTTTAGTTGGCTATTTGTTTTGCTTTTATCACTGGTGTTATAATGTAAATATTGTTTGTAGATTGCTAATGGCATGGCTGAGGTATGCGATCCCCAGAGGATACAGTAACGGACAATTGCTTAACTGCATCTACTTCTTAGATCATTTTGAACCACGCCTTCTGATTAAAGGTAAATTAATTTTACTGTGTTTCAAGAAATATTTGATTTTTCATGTTTTTGACATTTTAATTTGACAGATTCTGACGTAGGTGATCCGCGCCTTGATGTACATTTGGTGAAACACCTCATCTATGTTGTGGTCAACCAACAAACTGCAGATCAACTGAACCGCAGTTATGATAATTACCCAGAAATGAAGACAGGTGTTGCAGACTATACAATCAACTTTAACTTCCTCGACAAGTTTAAAGCAAACAGGTAAGCGACCTTTTTTTTTTTTTTTTTTGCATTGCTCTTGCCAATCTGGTATTTGTTAGAAAAATATATGAAATTATTTTAAATTACTGCCGAATTATATTTACTAACGTCTTGCAGTTGTTTAAACCACAAATTTCAAAAATTTTGAATTTGCAAAAATCAGATCACCCAAGCTTAAGTCTTGTACTACTGCCACAATCTAACAATCAAAGCTACTACAAAAAGTGAAGGATTTGGTGGCAAAAAATGACGGTGTATGGTGCAAATTTGAGGAGGAAATTAGGCTGGTGTTTTGGGATTAAGGAAATGAGACATAGGTAGGACATGATGAGGACTTTTAGGCTATATATGCCTATTATGTACTAGAAGGCGATGATTTGATAGTAAAAACAACCGCGTTATTGGTTAGGCTAAAGAGTCATCTATTAAACCATTATCAACAACTTCCTGTGATCAAGGAAGTGTATTACAGAAATCCTAGAAGTTTCAGTTATTCTAAGATAGTGTTGGAGAAAAGATGAGCAGAGGTCAATGAACAGTAAGGAAAATACAGAAATCTTAGAGAAACAATAGAGAAAATAGTTCTGAAATTTCAATGAGGAAGCAATGGTAGTCAGCTGGGTGTTTGGGAGAGCTTTAACACTTTGTTTAGACTGAAAAAGTTAGAGGGGA